AGGGGGTCATTGTCCCGCTGAGAGACATGTCGTTCTGCATAAGGGTTGCCTGCCCGAGTTTCCCTTTCCCAGAAAAACGGCAGAGGACAGGTTGGGAGTATCCTGGGCTCCAGAGTAGACCTAGGGATGACTCCCATACATGGTCTGATCAAGATTTTAACTGGGAGGTTCGACCACTGTCTCTACCCTCTCATTTTGGGAAATCTATTTGCTTCATATAAAGTAAAAAGAGGGAGATGTGGGGAGCCGCCTGCCATCCCTGCAGACGCCATTACAAGATGGCGCTCACATCCGGTTCATGCTGAGCAGTAAATAAGTCAGTACGCATGCCCGAAGTAATTTTCCACCTTCTAGTCTCTGCCTACCTCGTGTCGTGCTATGGGCTTATGAGTTTGCGACCAATCAAGAGTTGCCACGTCTAAGACGGGCTTACTAACCTATATAAGGGCTGGGTTTCCGACATTCGGGGTCTTCGCCCTGTAAGCTTATGCTCTCCCTCTCAAGATGCATTAAAGCTTTTCTGCAGAAGGATCCTGAGTGTGCCGCGTCATTCTTGCTGGTGAGATGATAGCGCGGGACACGGTGGATCCACATAGATCACAGACTCGGAGTGTGTGCACCCCGTGGATCTGCACAGATCACAGAGTCGGAGTGTGTGCACCCGGTGGATCCTCACGCAGACTGCAGTGTGTGCTGGTGTGGATATGATCCATTCCTCCCGTCAGCAGCCATGCCTGCCACATTCCTTCCCCCACGAAGTGCTATTTCATTAGACCAGGTCTCCAATTTCATTAGACCTGGCTTCTGGTGTTCGGCAGTTCACAAAACCTCTCTGGAGGCCATTCAATTCTTCCAGCGGGTATAGGAAGCAGATCCAAATTTGGGATGCTGAGGCCCATGAAGACATACACTGTGGAGTAGCACAGGCAGCAGCAAGTGTACCTGCTGGCTGTGGGGTTCATACTTTGCACAACCATAAACTGATGCTTATCAGACCAGGCAAATCTCATTTGAATTAGTTCTTACAATGGCCCAGGAAGATAAAGAGGGCTGACAATGTGGAGCCCGGTTCGCACCTCAAAGGAGTAGGAGTGAGCTCACTCTTTGGCCAAATAGTAGTGACCACAGCCCAGGAACACAGATTTGGTTTGCCTCAAAATAACATGTTCCAATGCGGAAAAGAATTTAAGAAGTTTTTCTACTTACAGAACAAAAGAAAGTCACAAAACAAGGCATAAGCACCTCAGTGGGGATCTCAGCTGGGAGCATTACAGCAAAATGAGGGAACGCCTGTTGTCAGTTTTAGGTGCTATCTGATGACACTTAGCTTTGGAGTGGCACAAGCTGTTTGTCTACTGAGATAACGCGTCCCAAGGAGCTTTACCTGAAGTTCCAGGGACATTGGGTCAGACAGGGAGGAAGTCTATGAATGGCCAAGAGAACTTGGCTCTGGATCTCAGGAAACCAGCTCTCCACAGTCAATGAGCTCTGATTTGTCAATCGACCTTTTAGAACCTTCCATGTAGGTGTGGCACCCACCTTCCATGCCCCCAGGAACTCAGTTGACACTGACACTACTCAGAGAAGAAGCCAAGGCTCAGGAAGTTTGGTGGACTAAGTCAGGGCTCACATGTCAACACAGAAAAGTTGGCATTAAATTCTGTATCTGCCCCAAATAGAGACCTTGTTGCCCAGCTGCCCCCAGCCTGCCATGACTCCCCACCATGGCTGCTCTTCCTGTGGGCCCCCCTTTCTGTGATGCATCTCTTTCCAGATTGTGACTACCACAGCTGCTAATCTGGGAAAATCATGGAGAAGTCGGCCCCAAAATGCCCAAAGATAACAACCTGGATCCTGGAAGCATTTGCAACCTCAGCAGAGTTTGGGGAAGGTCAAGGACACAAGCTGAGGCGGAGTCTGCATGTGGCTTTGAAATGTGCAGGGGCCCTGTGCGCCTTTTCAGACTCACAGGAAGTGGAGACATCTGTGTGAATCTGCTGTTTACTCTGCCATGCGAAGTAGACAGCTCCTCCCCAGACAAAGGAAAGCTTC